CCTCTCTGTTGACGTTATTTTTATGTCGGTGGATCTCTATGGCTTCTCTTGTCAGTCTTTGCTAGTATCTGTTGTCCTTAGCTAGCACCTTTGTTTGTTCGAAGTCTATTCGGTGCCCCTCTGCATGGCAATGTTCCGCAACCGCCGACTGCTGGATCTTCTTCAGCCTTACATCCCTCTCATGGTCCTTGATGCGGCACTCGACGTTGCGTCCAGTTTGGCCAACATAAACCTTCCCACAACTACGCGATAGTCGATAGACTCCCGCTCCTTTTAATGGAGTTAGTTTGTCCTTGGCTATCGGGAGTGTGTTCCGAATTTGGCTGACCGTGCCGTACCGCACTATGATGTCGTTCTTCTTGAGGTGCCTAGCATTCCTTCTTCAAGTTCTCTCCTTCACATAGTCTCGCTGCTCGCTGAAATAATGTACGGATCACGGACCTCTTCTGTTTGGGATGATGATGTGTACATGCCTGTAAATACCTGTTGGTATGGGTCTTCTTTCGGTATACACCAAGTTCTATATCTCCATTTGTCGTCCTGGTGACCAACACATCTAGGAAAGGTAGTTTTTGGGCAGTTTCTGTTTCCATGGTGAACTTAATCATAGGATGTGGAGAGTTCAAGTGATCCAAGAACTCTTGGAGCCGTTTTTGACCATGTTGCCATATCACAAACGTGTCATCCACATATCGTAGCCATCGTTTTGGTTTCCACTGGCTCTTCTTCAAAGCGTCCTCTTCGAATAATTCCATGTAAAAATTAGCTATAACTGGCGATAGTGGAGATCCCAAAGCGAAAAACTCAAACGAAAAACATTATCTCGAAGAAAACTTCTTTAAAAGGTATGAACACGTTAAAATTTAAAAATAAATAATTACAACAAAAACATTCACAATATAATTCAAAATGTAAAATTAACGTACATCAAAATATATTAAAAATTTTGTCAAAAACGAAAAACGAAAAGATGTCGACGGTGAGACGAGAACAAAGGAACTGGGGAAAAGACTTGAGCGGGTTTTAAACCTGCATTGAACTACCCGGGCAAATAAACTTGTTATGTAATTGTTTTATGATCTCTCAGAGACATGAAAATAGGTTTATTATATAATTGAAGCTGATCATTTAATAATTCGCAGTTATTGTTATTTTTGTGTTTGTTAATTTCTAAAATTTCGAGCAGATCTAGCCTATAACCTTTTTCACATTTATGTAGAAGTTTTGTATTATTATAGTCTATCTTGTGGCCTGTTTCAATGTATTTAAACCGTGTTAAAACGTGTTAACCTTTTAAAGAAGTTTTCTTCGAGATAATGTTTTTCGTTTGAGTTTTTCGCTTTTCATGTATAAATTGCTTTGAAATTTTAACTGTAAGTTTTTTTGAACTGTTTTATTTTAATGTGTTTTTCGCTTTTGCTAGTTTCGACTGAAGATGAGGGTGTAACCTCGAAACTAGTCTCGATATATATTTAAATAAAAGCAAGTTAAAGAAGTTTCTTCTAGTATATCTTTTTAGTATATTATTTAATATATTCCCAACTTGCAACATGGATAAAATTCTTATTTATACATGGGCAAAGAGTAGAAGTGTTGACCACCAGCAAGGTTCCAGAAGAAATGGGAAAGATAAGAAATGGTAAATCCCCGGGCTTAGATAATACAACTAACGAGCTATTGAAGATGGCGAAAGTTTTGCAACAAACTGAAGAAAATACATCTTCACTCGACACTTGTGTCAACATATCACTGACAAAATCCCAATGAGTGAAAAAAGAAAATGAAGATTTTTCTTAAAAAATTGTTAATGTACTTATGGATAGAATAATAGACAAAGTATGTAAAGTTGTAGTAAAGGATATTCTAGATAAGTGTGGAGTGGTTGAAACGAGTACATATGCAAGGCGCCCCTTTAAGCGGTGCAGGGAGTGTTGGACATCCTCATCTCAAGATGAAACGAATTTGTAATACAAGCCTAGGACTTTCTTCAAGAAGAAAAGGAAGATTTGATTTTAATCTTTGATCTGGTTTGGTTGGACCTTTATTGCCATTTTTGTTGTTTTTCAGTGTTTGTTTTCACTTGACAGCCAAGAAAATGCCAACCATGAAACTATCTGAAACTATGCAAGATATCTGTTTCTAAAAGGATGGCTGTCAAGCCTATATTTCTTGTCGTACAACACTTTTATCGATATGACCCGAAGATTTATTATCAGTAACAATTAGAGCGAAGTATTTAATTTTTAAATTTTAGAGCAAAGACATTCATTTTATACTCTTCGCATAGTGTTGAATTTTGCATAAATTTGAAATCAAATTGTATCGATTGAAGTTGTCGGCGTTGCAACTCTAGGTAATTGTCCAAGATAGTTTGGAATTTGAATTTAATTTGTTATTCCTTTCCTTAGTCTGATAAACTATTTTATACACTACAAAATAATAAAACAGTTATGAAGCTTTTCGTTCTTTTGTTTGCATTTCATTGTTTTACCTCTTAGATTGTATAAAAGTTTTGGCTACACAGGTCACATAGCACATACAAAGTCACCATAGCATGGTTGACAAGGCTACCTCGTATCATCGTATACTTGTTCTACCGGCTGTTGTAGCTATGGTAAACAGCATGGCTGCACACTGCTTTTAAAACATGCCTTTGTCCGATAACGCAATTAGTTGGAGAATACAATATATGACGGAGGATATCAAGGGTCAATTGAGTTGCATTTCGATTGCAGTTAGATGACGCTAAGGATAAATCCTTCCCTTGTATTATGATTTTTGTAACATATTCTATTAGCATATTTGAGCTTGGACGAATCGCACAATCATTTTGTTTATCTAATACACGTCATATTTTGAAATCATCGCCATATAGCACAGTAAATAGGGCTTACTGTGCTTTTTAACATCAAACAGAGCACTGGTTTCAAATAGGAGCGTTGTCAATCGATGATAACATCGATAACTGACAATAAGAAGTGTTGATCAAAACACTTAATAAATAACCAAAAATTAGAGCAGACGTCTTGCTATAAATTTCTAATATAGGTACTATATACGTTTATTTTTTTGTTTTATTTGCATTCATACAAATAGAACTTAGACCACTGTGTTGGAGATCACAAACAAGAGAGCCCGTAAGTCTTAGATTGGGTTTCTTTACGATTACGTTATGTAGATTTGGAGTTATCTTGGATTTCTATCAAATTTATATCACAATAGATTGAGATACTTGTTATGGTTTTGCCTTATTTTAGGATTGCATTGCGTTGAGATTGAGTTGTTTCTTTTGAGATTAGATTGATTTCAACTTAAATTCTTTTGTGGTAAAGTTTTTTCGGGCTTAGGTTACCTTGATTTGAGTTAGATTAAGTTGCTTTAGAGTTGCATTCGTTTATTTAGGGGTTAGTTTTTCAAATTTATTGTTGGTTTGGCTTACTGTAGGGTTGAATTGGTTTGGTTCAGGTATACGTTACTACGTAGTTGAGTTGCTTTGAACTTTGTTTGTGTTGGGATTAAATTGCTTTGTAGATATGTTGCTTTGCAGTTAGGTTAGCTTGATTTAAGTTGGATTACTTTGTGGTCATGTGCATTCATTGCAAAAATTAAAAGGGTCGAATTTGGATCGGATGCGATGAGATAGCAATAAAAATACCCATTTAATCTGCTATGAACGGTTTACGGATGGTTTTGAAGACTTAGAGATATGAGAGTTGTATTTCGTTTGATCACGAGAGCTGTTCTAAGACGAACTGGGTTTCGATATGAATAAGTCAAAATTGTGAATCCACATCCCAAAATGATGATATTATCATAACACAAAGTGTTTCTGTAAACAGTTTATTTTGTGGTCATGTCCAGCTCTGTAATGTTGGAGTACATATTGCGCATAAAAATGAAAAATAAAGATGATGTGCATATTGTACTAAATAATTTAAAGAAAATAAATGATATTTTGTAATCATTGTATTTATTTGAACAATTACTCGCTATTTTTATAATCCCTAAGGCCAACTCTTTTGCATCAACTACAAGTTTCCAAATTTAAATCTCTCAACGTAACAAATCTGTAGCCACGCGTATAATTTCACCGGTTAGGAGACCGTTTAAAACCATCAGAGCCATTTGAAACGTCTGGAGCTTAAGCTCATTCATTACTGTCACCAATTAGCGCGTTTTCGACTGTTTCATTGCCTTGGAGTTTCCTTTTCTTTTCCCTTCCCTCGCGTTTCTAGACGGGAAGATTAGAGGAACAAAAATATACATACATACGTAAAGGACAACTACAGTAAAATCGGTAAACAAAAATACACTACTCTCGAGTCCCACACCGAGTTTAGCGGATGAGGTTTTAAAGACGTTGCCAGAAAGATTCAAGCGCTACCAGAGAACATTCATCAACGCCTAATTGACCAGGATCTACCGGTGAGACAAAGTGACACTAAACGTTGTCTAATTATCGTTGGCAGAACCCCTTTTTACCCCTCTCAACATCCGTTCTCATTTAAATTCCATTAACTATTAAAAATAAGTTTATTTTTATAAGAGTCGAAAACATCAAAGTATTCTTGAAAAAATCATAAATCTCGTGATAAATAAAAGATCATCAGCACGCAAAAACATCAAAAGGGGGTGCACACATTTGCGCGTTAAACATCTGTCGAGACAACACGGCCAATTATCCCTAATTACCATCTCGGTATCGTTTCCATGCGGTGACCGTAAATTTATTTAAAACATTTTCGGATTCCGCGGTATATATTTAATTTAGTATAGCGAAGGACCCCGTTTATAACCGAAATTAATGTCTCTCAGAACGCCCCTAATAGGCCCCCGTTCGACTTTAAATAGCGCGCGCTTTTAAAGACGACGTTTTCGTCAGTCGCCAGATAGCGTTTGATTCTTGGAGGTTGCTTTTTGGATCGTTAACCGTTTAAATTCTAATTTCGTCGAGACGCAAATTACTTACTTTTATTGATTTTATTTTGATTTGGTTCTAGATTCCCAATTTTCTGATTACAAATCGGAGGAAGAAAGGAAAAAGAGGCCCCGAACCGCTTTTACAGCGGCACAAATAAAAAGTTTAGAAGCGGAATTTGAACGAAATAAATATTTATCCGTCGCTAAAAGGTGTCAGCTTTCAAAAAGTTTAAAATTAACCGAAACTCAAGTAATAATATACACAAATTAATTTATTTCATTTAATTTAATCGTTTTTAGATAAAAATTTGGTTTCAAAATCGACGAACGAAATGGAAGAGAAAATATACAAACGATATTGAGTTATTAGCCCAACAATATTATTCATCAATGGGAATTTTAGCACCGAGACCAATTTTTCTTGGGGATAGATTGTGGTAAATTAAAATTGATTCTTTGATTTTATTTATTTATTTAATGTTTAAGGTTTTTTAATTATCCGGGTCAAGCAACTTCAGGAAGCAATCATCAAATTCCTCCGGGAATTTTACCAATGCCAAATACAAACCAAATCTTACCACCGTCAATGCACCATATACATCAGTCAAATTATCCTAATTACATGGAATATAGAGAGGGTTCAACAAACGAAACACCACCGATTTTACAATTACAACAAAATTTTGGACGAAGTTTTGAAAATTCTTGAAAACCGATTGTTATTTAGGAAATATTTTTATTACATTAATTTATTTATATAAATAAAAATAATTTTTCACTTATTTTTATTGTTTTATACTGATTAGACCATTTTCTTATTACACTAGAAGAAATCAAAATCAGTCTACATTATCAAAATATAGCTTGAAGTTGTTTTTTGCAAAAAGTACTTTTTAAATATGATATGTTTCAAAAAAACATAATCGCCACGTTGTACATCAATTAGAAGAGGTGTTGATAATGAGGGAGCCGACGAATTAATAGCCCAAGATTATAAATTTAGTAATTAGTTTCCATCCACTGACATATCATAGCTCAAGAACAACTTGAGATATAATCACGAAATTAATAGCATCTTAAAACAAATTTAATACAGATTCAAAGTGCCACCAATAATTTCTTAATTTCCATAAACATAGTTGTTGTTATTTTTAAACCCTAACTAAGAATATTTGATTATTGTAGATTTTAAGAATAGAAATTCAAATACTGCATCTCAAGAATGAATTGAGACATAACGATGAAATACACAACATTTTGAAGCAAATTTAATGAAGATTAAATGCACCACAGATGATTTCTGATTTTTCGTTCTTACGGTTTTCTGTGGTTCATCGAATATAAGTTAGGACCATTTTAATAATTAAAACTGCCAATCTAACAGAAGAACAAGAAAATGTTAAAGGTTTTCTTCATTCTTAGCGAAATAACAGGAAAGTGTGCTGGAAAACAGAAAAAGCGAGGTAAAATATAAAAAATTATAAACTGGGAAAAGTGCGTACCAAAAGCGCAGTTGCTCCAATACATGGTAATTTATGGGGCTTATGCTCTCTACGCAATAATAAGAAAGAATAAAAGATTAGGGTGAAATGACTGTATTTAATGCAAATAACAACTATTAAAGATTGCACTTGCCAAAAATTAGAATTAAACATCTATTAATAACTAAGATGATGGATAAAGTCTTCTCAACAAACTTGCACCATAACCACAAACTATGATTCACTTTATATGGACAAGCAAATACCAAGTGAGTGATACATTTTGTGCTCAAAAAAATTCAATCTGTGAGTAGTACAGAACAATTAGACTAGATGTCCTTGGATGTACTTGTATACCTATAACAAAAATTTTATTGACTTGGAATAGACTTGCCCGGAATCAACCAATAACGATCAATATATCGAAACTCATTACCAAATTTGTTTGCGAGCAAGTAAAACAATCAGAGGTTTAAAAGTCGATTTTTTTAAGCATTTGAAACGACAACATACGTTTGATTATGAAACCTTCCTAAAAAAATGAAAAAGTCGAAAAAAGAAAAATTTCCAGCAGTACTAAACCATCCAAATCCACAAAATTAGTTGAATGTTCAAAATGATCAAAATTTACCAGTCAAAAGCAGTTTGATAGCAGAATACTACTTCATAATAAATACTACTAGTCCTATTTCAATTATTGAAAATAAAAGCTTTATAAATTTATTTGAAGAATCAAATTTTTCAGTCTTGAGAAGAAAAATCGCTATAAAAAGGTAGGACGACCTTTTTATTGATCATATATATGACACCAAATAAACAATTCGGATCAAAATTTTGTATGTACTATGGCAGATATTTGGTCAAAGAAGCTTTTTGGGCACAACATGTCACTGAATCAATCCAGATTACTCCAGAACGTCAGTGGCTTTATCCTCTGAACGCTTAAAGGCCAACATGATCGTAAAAATATTGCATTTAAGTTGAAAACTGTACAAGTATTTTATTAATTCCGAAAAAATTGTTACCACCATAACTGATAATGCATCAAATTTTATAAAAGCGTTTAAAATCTTTAGCATTAATGAAGTGGAAGAAGGAAATGAAGAGACTCCTAATTTTGGAGAGGACGCAGAAGATATCCCGGGTCCAGAAGTCCCTTCTACTTTTGGTCTACTTGAACAAGATCCATAACAATAATTCTGATATACCTAATATTGTCACAACATGAACGTTGCACCAATCATTCAATTAATTTAATTGTAACTACAGACATAAATAATGTTATTGAACGTAACGTTAGCCTTCGCAATAGACATATGCATAGTATAGCAAACTTTAAAGAATTGTAGAAAAAAGCAAATCGCCCGAAGACTGCGGGAAACTAGGTGGAATTCCCTATACAGGCTGTTTCGGTGACTCGGAGAACAAATTTAACCACATATAGTCCGTCCGTCGAAAGAAGTCCACTGCGTCATTAATTTATAGGGTTTAATAGACTTGTATAATATATTGTTTTCTTTGTTTAATACACGTAAAAAAAAGAGACGCAAAAAGTTAATACAAGTCTATTATAACCCCATAAATTAATGACGCAGTGGACTTCTTTCGACGGACGGACTATATACTAGAGTGAAAATGATGACGATTCATGTAAAAAAAAATTAATAAAAGTCTTAAAATTTCAAAGATATCTTAAACACTATTTACAGTAAAGCGCTGAAATTTAATACAGTATAAATCAATGTCGTGTAAAATTGTTAGGCAATTTATGAGTTGGATCGGTCCGCGAGAACAATGCTATACCGGCTGTTCCCAAAGTTTGTTTGCTCAGAACTTTTTTATTCTTTCATAACCCTACATTTACTTTTGCAGTTTCTAATAGTATTCAATAACAGTAAAAAGAAAAAATAAATAAATACTCTGAACTTAAAGACGACCCCCAAATCCGGCTTGCCTAATGATTTTACGTGATGTTAGTTTACGCTGTACGAAATTTCAACGCTTTACCATAAATAGTGTTTCCTCTACTTCCGGTCCACTGGAAGTAGACCATAACTTCGCTATTTTAAATGGAATGCTATAGTTTTTATTACACAGTTTAATTGTACGTAAAAAAATAGGTTGACTTTGATAAAAGTTATTGGTACCTAGCATTTTTCGTTTTCGAGTTATTTTGGTTTTAAACTTTTTTGGTAAATTTCAACATGCTCTTTAAAACTCCATATCTCAGCCAAACTTCATTCAAAAAAGATCTACTTTGGCACGATTACTCTTCAGATGTTGTCAAATATATTGTCATTTGTTGTATCGGAGTATCTTATACAGGTTGGTCAAAAATTGAATTACCTATATTTTTTTAGCCTATCAGAAAGAGAATTATGTATAAACATTCCCATACCTATTTATTGTAGTTTGCCTCATATTGCGAAATTTATTAAAACATGCACGAAATGCAGGTTTTTTTTATTAGAAAGCTATGAAATTTTGGTCCGTTTGTATTATTGTTACCATTAGTTACATTTGACGACGGGTGTAAGTTATTGAACATCATGGTAAATTATTCCAACGCCGATATTTTAAATTTATTTTGTGTTGATGGCGAATGTAATAAACTTTCAGACAAGACGTGTCGAACACTTAATGAGAGATGCCTAAGAAACCTAACGCCTATCACAAGGAAAAATTTCAAAAAATTGATATGATTTTAAGAAATATAGATATGTAAAATAAGTGTTAACTTTATCTGTCATTTTTATTCAGAGTTGAAGTTAATAAAAAGTGGTTATTGCGGAGTAGCGAGTATTACGATATAAGCTAACGATCCCCATTTACCAAAATATTAAAAATGAAAATTAGTAAAATCATGTTATGGCCGGTAATTTCAAACTTGTTAACACTGTGGGACGTGTTGAACACTTAATGAGAGATGCTTAACAAACCTAATGACCATCACAAGGAAAAATTTCAAAAAATTGATAAAGATTTTCTTCGTTCTGGACATATCGAGACTAAAAGAAACCGCATATTTCCGGTCACCAGACAACGTAATAAATATTTTATTGCATTTCCAAATTCAATTTAATAACAAATTTATATTATAAATTTATATTTTTATCCAAATCTAATTTTCGTCATTAATTTTTTGTTGTAATTGTTTCATTTATTTGATCTTCTGTTTGTTATTTTTGGTGAGTAAAAGCTAGTAAACTAAAAGATTATTAATCGTAGTTAATAGTACGAAATACGGTCAAAATGTCATGGCCTTCTAATAAAGATACAAACGGTTTCCTACATGTTTTGAAAAATTTCCCAATATGAGATAAACTACAATAAATAGGTATAGGAATGTTTATAGATAAATTGTAGAGAATTAAATTCCCTTTCGGGTAGGTTAATAAAATATAGAGCGTTCTATTTAAAATTTTCGACTTTCTTGCGGTTGAATATGAAGAAACGGTAATTCAATTTTTGGCCATCCTGTATAAGATACTCCGATACAACAAATGACAATCTATTTGACAGCATCTGAATAGTAATCGTGCCAAGGTAGATCTTTTTTGAATGAACGTTGGCTGAGATATAGGGTTTTAAGGAGCATGTTGAAATTTCCCAGCTTAAAACCAAAATAACTCGAAAACGAAAAACGGTAGGTACCAATAACTTTTATCAAAGTCAACCTATTTTTTTACGTACAATTAAACGGTGTAATAAAAACTATAGCATTCCATTTAAAATAACGAAGTTATTGTCTACTTCCGGTAGACCGGAAGTGGCGGCCATTTTGAAAATATTTTAGATCGAAAGTTCCGAATGAACAACTCATGTTACCAAAACTTCAAATC